AAAGCACTCCACAACCAAAAAAACTTAGTACGACATAATTATTTTTTGTTCAGTTTTTGTGTTATTATTGTTGTTTTTTTTATAACATCTGCTGATTTAGTTGTTGGTTATTAAAATTTTTGTTTATTTTTAGGTCAATCCTCTTCCGCTTTTTTTAGGTCTTATTCGTGAGGTAAGTACATGCAGGAAAGATTAAGCGTTTATTTGAAAGTGGCGTTTATCTTTTAAAATCACATTTCTGAAAACATTGACAGCAATTAAAAAAAGAAAGATGTTTAAAGTTCCAATGTCTCATATTGTTGAGATAGAAACATAAATGTCTGGATGGTGTAGCTTCCAAATTTTACCGAATCTTTATTATAATCCTCGATAAAACACCGCATGCCTCTGATTGGGTGCGGCGTTTATTCGAAGGTGACGTTTATTGGTTCAAGTGGAACCCTGCTTTACGGACAATGGTTACCTGCGAAGTGTCTTTTTTCATTGTCACAATAATGTGCCAATTGTAGACATTGTACTCTGTAGAGAGAGATTTATGGGTTAATACTGTTGCAAAATAGCGTGACATGTTTGTGTCTTCCTCTGTTTGACCCTTGTTGTAGCCATTTGATTTTTTTTTTTGCCTCTTTTATATACAAGTTTCACTTCCTTGGCTTTTTGCTGCAGTCACTGTTCTTACCTTTCTTACTCTTTGTCTGCTTTGGTCTCTATATTAATTGCGTATTTGTACGTTATTTTGAGAGACCGCTTAATACGGACACCATGGCAAGGCATCCTCGGCTTTTTTTTTGTGTGTGTATAAGGGCCTGTTTACATGGAGGGGGAATCCCAGGTAGATGAGGTAACCCGCTCAGGTGGGATAAACAAATGATGCAAAGCCTCCGGCAAAGGCAGTTAGTTGAATTTGGCGCGAATTTGATGTAACGCGAATCCGAACCCGGCTAGGCGAGTAAAGCCATCTTGAACGTTTACTGGGCACAATTTGACCCCGGCCCGGTCTGGTAGACTGGGCCACCCGCCGCGGTGGGTCACTTCATCCAACATGCTCATTCGGTGTCGTGTTGGTGTCTTGCAAAGTTAATTCTCACGTAGTACGATCAGCTTTACAGAATTCAATGTGTAAACTTTTGCAAAGACTTCTGGGATAATTACTAGAGAGAGGGGAGAAATTAGGGAGCTTAAGCGAAGACGTTTTTGAGCGACACACGTCAACTGAAAGTGGACTTTTTGCATTCTTGAGTAGTTGTTATGCCTAAATTTTCAGGGGGAATCGTCTTTATATGACTAAAGGCACTTAGCAATACTCATTGGTTGCGTCATGGTATGTTAAAAGGGAAAATGCCTCATTTCCGGTTAGCGTGCGTCACTTCCGGTTGGCGTGCGTCGCTCATCAACGTCTTTACTTAAGCTACCCGGAGCGTCCCCAGTAAATATCCCAGAAACATTTCGGCTCCAGTGCCCTTATCGTTCCCAAAGTGGCGCATTCTGCTGCTACAATTACAAGAGTTCTCAAAAGAATAAAAATCGGTATTGTAATTGTTCTTTTTTAAAGGTGAAAACTCTTCTAATGCAGTTATTTAAAGGGAGTTTAGCCAGCGTTTAATAAAACAGCGTTCTAAGCCGTTTTCAGGTTGCCGAACGCTTTTATGTAAACGGTACGATTTATCGTAAACAGTTTCATGAAAGCATATAGTGTAGACTAGAAAAGCATTTGTCTTTTTAAAATAACTCACTGAGGAGGAGATCTAGATGTACAAAGATTTCCTAAACCGCGGTCTATTAAAGTTAGACCTTTAAATAACCGACCCTTGGTGTTTGCTTGCTAAAAGAAAGTTATGTAATAAACAATTTATAACACTTATTTTCTCGGATGCTTCTTTTTTTCTCCTCGGTTCCCAATTTAGAGTAAGGATCTCGATTGAACATAGTTTTTAAGAGGTATTTTTCTCGTCGCAGTTTTTAAGAGCTCATCCCGAGATGGCGAATGAAGGCACTCCACCAGCCCTTCCGCAGGTGATTGAGTCCCTTCCAAAAAAGAACATCTCCAAAGAACAAGTGGGTAAGTGTCATCATAAAGGAACCCTTCAAAAAGTGTCAGTACATTTTCTGCCCTGAATTTATCCCCTTCATAAGGGCTCGAAACAAGTCTTGTCCGATAGTGTGGGACAAGTAGATGTTCTTGCTGGGTAACGATCCCAACAGTGACCAACATCAATTTTCTCCTATCAGTATCCATATTTTAACAATAGAAATGGTTATGAAAGTTAATAAAATGATCACTTAGAAGAAAATGATTTGATCTGTAACAGACTCTCTCAACTGACTTTTAAGGAAATGTATGAAGATCAGTATGGAGAATTTATATGTGGATATTGGGGCTTAAAGGGTTAAAAAGCTTACTCGCCCAATGGGCAAGGGTGCAGGCAAGTCTAACAAAATCAGTAACTAAGACGCACAAGAAGTGGCCTCAGGCAGGACAAACTGGAATTCAAGTTTTTTTCGAGCTCTGCTTCATTCCTAGTAGCGTCGGAACCTAGGCTAAACGAAAGGAGGAAAACGAAACAAAAAGTTCCATCTTGTCAAGAGGGGATATGGCCTGCAAACGCAGACGTATTTCCGGTCGTCGCTCCTCTCCACCGGAAATACGTCTCCGTTTGCAGGATAGAACGCAAAAGAACGGCTATAGAGGTTTTATTTAAATGGTTAGGCCATACGTTTTATCAACAGACCCGAAAGTTAGAACTACATTTCATGTTTTCCATAATCGAGCATCTGAGGAGTGAAGGGTCACTGACAACAGCAACAGTCCTATTCAGGACTACGTTCACCCGGACGATCAAACTCAACCTACTTTTGTATTAAAGTTATTGCGTCTTTAACTGCGATGATGTTCTCAACATTTGTTTCTACTCTTTTCATATTGTTATTTTTGAGATGGTTTTGAAGCCTGATTGTGCTTCTGTTAAGTGTTTTTTCTTCCTTCTTTTTACAGACGTTTGCCTATCATGTACCATCTGTCGTTGTGATTACGAGGAGGACGAAACAGTTTTTGAATTACCATGCTCGCATCTCTTCCATCCTCAGTGTGTGACTACTTGGCTTAAAATGGTAATCAGCATTTTGCATGGGAACAATTTACGGGACTTTGGCTGACAGTTTGTGAGCGACCTCTATTTTCTTAACGCAAACTGGAAGAAACGCGCCAAATTACGCGCAAAAACGATCCCGCATTGGGGGGGAAGGAGAAAAAAATCGGCGAGCGAAGCGAGCCGAGAGGTAGTCTGGGGAGGAACCTCTGGCGGAACCTCTGTCACCCTTTCCCCCTCCACAGGCCACCTCTCGGCTCGTCTCGCTCGCCGATGTTTTTGCTATTTGACCCCGTTTTTGCCCTTTTTCCCCAGCTGCGGAGCCTGGTTTCAGGCTAGTTGAGCGCAACGCATGAGGGGGAAGGGAAGAAAATGTGCTCCTCCCCATCGCACTCGGCCTTGACCTAAGTGTCCAGTTCACGCGTTTGTCGGATAAAAAAGTCCTTTTTGCGCATTCGCTGAATGAAATAAGAGAAAGTGAGGGTCTGTGAAGGGTCTAGGACTTAAGTAATTTGATACAGGTTTCACCTTAAATGATTCTCAGCCGCGTTATGTCATTCCACTAGCTGGCTTTTGGCAAATATCTTTGCGGTTAAGAAGCTGTTATTTTAGTGTAACCACGGAGTGTTTATCTTGTTTACAGCACGCCACCTGTCCAACATGCCGAGATGTTCTTCCTCACTGAACAAAGTGCTCGAATTGCCTTGTCGGCAGATTATATTAAAACAACGCAACGTTGCTTAATTAGCCCCTCTGGTACTCGTCAAGTGGTTTGAAGATCGATGAATCTGCCTGATACGGCAACTAAACGGCTTGGGCCTGTTTGACGAGCCAAAAACAGGACAGACAAGTTGAAGGGAAAGATATTCAAGAGACAAGATTCACATCCAGACAGGACTGAATCCTGCAATAGTTACATGCAACAACTGAAAACTCTATCATTTGTTAAAGATAAAGAAAAATTGGTCTAAACCAGGTTTCTGTTATAAGTTTGTTAGAAAAAATCATTTTACACAAAAAAGAAGATATATATGTCATATAAAGATGATAATTATAAGTTTAATTTACATCAGGGGTTTGCTTTTCTTATTACGAATACCTCGCAATGGATATTTTTCTTGATGCGTTTTCATAAAACATCTCCAGAAATTGTTTCTCCTCCGTTCTGTTCTGAATCTTTATCCACGATTTTGAAATCTCGAGTTTTGAGGCACGTTAGATACAGATTGTTAGGAGGAATAAAAACTCTTGAAAATAAGCTATGATATAGTACAATGGTTATATTATTGTTTAACTAAGAGAAAGATGAAACTGAACATATTCTCAAATGATCTTCGCAGTAGAATAAAACCTAAGCGGTTAAAAAAGAAACTGAAAAATTCAGGATTGACCGGATGAAAGTCTTCCCATACTGTCTCAGTCTAGAATTGAGGTGGTGTAAAGCTAGCCTGAGAAAATACCCGACATTTCGCGACGCTACCACTGGTTTCCCGCGAAATGACGTCGGGGAACGAACACAGAAATTTCATACTGATGACGTGATACTACGATCTGGGTAGTGCTTCTGAGTGGCTGAGAATTTGCTTCAACCAATCAGAAACACTACCCAGTTCTAGGTATTGACGCGTCATCAGTATGGAATTTCTATAGTCGTTTTTCAGACGTCGTTTCGCGGGGAAACCAGTGGTGGCGTCGCGAAATGTTGGCTTTTTTCTCAGGCTTGTGTGAAGCGAACATTCCCCTTTAGTCCTTTATCTTAGAGGATCAATTTAGGTTTGTGGGAAACTGCCCACCTCCCCCTCCCCTAACCCAACATTTTGCCCTAAGTGAGAAGTACGTGTTAGTATTGACTTAGGGGAGGGGTAGGTGGGTAGTTTCCCTTATCCACCTTAGCTATGAAAGGCCTACAGTCAGTCACTTAAATGCAGGAGCCACCTCATTCACCCACTCCTTCAAACTGGTGGGCTTTTCTCCCGTGATTTGGTTGAAGTGGGACATTTCTGGGTCGTCTACCATTGGGCACTCCTCATCAGTAAGCCTGTATATTTCTAAGATCCCATCTGCGTCCTCCTCGCTAAAACCAACCACTTCAACGAGACGGCGCCTACAATCATTGTAAGAAATTCGTTCATACTTGACATTCCTACCTAGAGCCTGGCTAAAAGCGGCTGCCAGCTCGTTTAGAGTGTGACGATTGCTTATCAGCTTGTAAGTCTTCCCATAATGCTTCTCGGGTTCAGCCATGATAGCGGCTGCAGCCTTCCCAGCGTCCTCCACCACGACAGCTGAGAATGGCTTGGTTGGATCACCTGGAGTGCTAAAAGAGGAATTCTGCTGAATGGGACGTTTGTAAGCCCAGTAGTTGTCGACGAATGGAGGAAGGCGGATAAAAGTGTATGGGATCTGAAGGAGTTTAACACGGGACTCTAACTCGCCGTACTGTTTGCCATAGATGGTGTCGGTGAGCTCAACCGTGAGTACGCTAACTGTCAGAATGTGCTTAACGCCTGACGCTTTAGCTACTTCCGCTGCGCCGATAGCAAGTCTAAACCCATTGGTTGGTGTAACGATGAACAATGATGTCACGCCAGTCAACAGGTCACGCAATGCTTCTTTGTTATTCATATCAGCGTGCAAAATTGTTACCCCTGGCAGAGATCTGAGGGATGCCACTTTCTCAGATGCAATGTCCCTTGTTCCTGCGAGGATGTTAAACGTGTCCGAGTATTTTCTGGACAGAGCTCTGACTGTGGCGGAACCGATTGAACCACTGCAGCCGAGAACAAATACCGTACGCTTGGACATATTAAACTGTCAGAAGGAATATTAGCAAAAGACGAAATTAATGAATGTAGTGCAGGCAAACCTTCTGATCTCAGAAACGGAAAAATGATTCATCCCACGCCGAGGTGCATTACAAAATACATATACACAGGCGGAGCTTGATTTAACTTATTCTCAACTGCCCTCAAAAGATCAACACAAGTACACCGTAACTTACCTTTAGCAATGAACACACCTTTTCGACCTGTGCCCCACCAGGATTTCGTGCGAGACTCTTCAAGTAAGCCACACTTTAGTGTCCTCAATCACTAGTTCCAATCCCTGCTCGTCGCGCCTGGTCTTTTTTGCTGTAAGCTGGTTGAGATGAGGAGGCTCTGAAAATATCATTTTATTTTTTTGACATTCAAGCGTTCGGGAAAGAGATGAACGAAATCTTCAAGCTGATAATATTGAATGATGGTTGATTGTAACACCGTTGAAAGATTCAAGAAACGTTTTAAAATTTCTGTCAACGAGTCATGAAGAGTTGCAACGTTTTATACCTGTTAATACTCGCTTTGGATAGTGAGGTCAGTTTAATTTGTTCGTTGTGATTTTGACGAGGAGGAAATAGTTCTTGAAATAACCATGTTTGCATCTCTTTCATGCTCACTTTGTCACTACTTAGCTGAATAATGTAACCAACGTTTTGCGGCTAAGCTTAGGTAGATGCGAGAAGTTCCATTTTTTATCCGTATCCCCTCCCCCCCCCCCCCCCCCCCCCGCCCCCCATGGGAGCATGGAACACCGCCCCCCCCATTTTTTCTGGCCCCCTTTGAAAAAAAAAAACAGAACACTTCGCTCTTTTTGGCCAATTTTGAAAAATTTTTTTATTGATTTAAAATTTTTGTTGGCTTTTTATAAAAAAAAAAAAACAACCATATCTAAAAACACCCCATATTTTTATTTTTTTTTTGTGATTTTGGCGAAGAGGAAATATTTTTTTAAAAAACCCTTTTTGCCTCCCTTTTATTCCCACTTTTTCCATTCTTAACTTAAAAATGTAAACCACGTTTTGCGGCTAAACTTAGGTTAATGCGAGAAGTTCCCTTTTTTTTCCCCTTCCCCCCCCCCCCCCCCCCCACCTGGTCCTCCAAGGATGACTGGAATCCGAGCCCTCAAATTTTTGTCGGCGCCCTTTGAAAAATGAAATCCGAACAGTTCGCTCTTTGTCGGCAACTTTGAAAAATTTGTCTAATGGGTTAAAAATTTTGTCGGCTTCTTTAAAGAAAAAAAATCTAACCCCATTTGAAAACCCGTCATCCTTAGGGGGAGGGGTGCGGATAAAAATTGGAACCTCCCTGCTTACACCTTTAGTTTACATACTACTGTAGCCAAAGGCATTTAGTTAAAAAAAGATGGTGACAAATGTGTATATTTCAGACATCTATTTATTTTATGAAGCATTTGAACAAAACAAATATTGATGGCCATTTTCACAAAATGAGTGGATTTTAACTCACACATACCTTAGCCTGCACAACATGGGCTTACTGAGCCAAGTGAGGTGAACTGGGTATTTCAAGCCAAGCACAAGATGAGCTTGGCTGGGGGTGGGTTACTGCCATATATGGGCTACATACATACATATTTATTTTTATATTTTATATTTTGGGCTATGTAGGTATGTGTTGCTGTGAAGGGTATGGTTTTCAAGCTGTTCACTCTGGGATTGGGTGTATACATCAGAGAGTCCAAGTCTAGAATAGGGTATCATTTTCCAGGAAACTGATCAATTGGTTGAAGATTTTCGTCTAGACTGGGGAAACCCGAAATTGCCACTCAAAAATATAAAAAAAATCAAATCGGCAAATTCATATTTATGCAACTCAGCCTAAAAGCTACTCTAGGATAGGGGGATATTTAGGGAGTTTAGTCTTGTATAGGGTAGCAAAATTCAGCTGAACTAGCTCTGGTATTGGCTAAGGGTTCCAGAGTCCCAGCGGCACACCCCTACCCAAAAATTCCTAAAGTACCCTTCCACCCCCCCCCCTTCCGGGGAGCTCGGAGCACAAGATCAGAGGAGTGTAAAAAGATGAAAAATTATTAACCTTTAGTAAAAATGATCTGTCTTGGCACTTTTTACTTCTTTCTTGTTTGTCCTTACTTTCTCATTCTTGGTAAATGTTATTTTCCCCTTCTTTATACAAATTATATGCCCAAGAAATCATTTTGATAGTGTCAGCTGTTTCACCATAGTAAGTAGTTACTAACTATGGTTTCACTGAAAGCAGTCTACCAAACAGTCAGGGTTTAATCTAGGAATTGAACTGACTTCTGAAGGTGTAGTTGGCCCCTTCTCAAGAAAGAGGGACTGGTTCTTAAACATTTTTGTACAATTTAGTTTGAAATTACTTTCTAGTTCATGCTTCTCTTTTTTCAATTTTTTAAATTGTCATTGCACTGACTTTGACCTTTGCTGTAACCTGTGATCAGGCGAGTGGTATTTCTTCTTTCCCCCTCCCCCCTCAAAAAATAAAATTAAACAGATAACCTAGCTGATTACAGGTTTTCTTATTAATATGACCTAGGTTTTAAGATATTTACAGCCAAAATGTTAAGGTTCTTATTTACTGCTCATTGAAATAAGATGTGGTTTATGTTCATTTTGATCTTTCATTAAAAGTACCTTATAGAGCTGAAGATATTTACTCCATTTATTCCAGTTCATTTCTGTGCCCCATTTTCTGCACTTACAAACATTTTGTACAGCCAGCAATGTTTTTCAAGTCACAGAAATCCCGCAGTGCCACACTCTAGAATAAACCCTTTAGCAGCTGTTTCAGAAAGTGAGTAAATGAAGTGTTTCTCTCCTATAAACCTTTCTCTTCATTCACTGCTCCTGCCCTTATACTATAGAGGGCCAACAGTCAGTCACTTGAAGGAAGGAGCCACTTGATTTACCCACTCCTGCAAACTAGTGGGCTTTTCTCCTGTGATTTGGGTGAAGTGGGATGATTCTGGGGTGTATTCTGGCTGGTTTACTACTGGGCTTTCTTCATCAATTAGCCTGTATGTTTCTAGGACTGCATCGGCATTTTCCTCACTAAAACCAGCTACATCAACGAGTTGGCACCTGAAAGTCTCATAAGAAATTCGTTCATGCTTGACATCCTTACCTAGAGCGTGGCTAAAGGCGACTGCCAGCTCATTTAGAGTATGACGATTGCTTATCAGCTTGTAAGTCTTCCCATAATGCTTCTCAGGCTCAACCATGATAGCGGCTGCAGCCTTCCCAGCATCTTCTACCACAACAGCTGCCAATGGCTTGGTTGGATCAGCTGGAGTGCTAAAAGATGAATTCTGCTGAATGGGATGTTTGTAAGCCCAGTAGTTGTCGACAAATGAGGGAAGGCGGATAAGAGTGTATGGGATCTGAAGGAGTTTTATGCTTGATTCCAACTTACCGAAGAGTTTACCATACATGGTGTTGGGTAGTTCAACTGTGAGCCCACTGACTGATAAAATGTGCTCGACACGTGATGCTTTTGCAACTTCTGCTGCCCCAATAGCAAGTCTGAACCCATTGCTTGGTGTCACAATGAACAATGATGTCACACCAGTCAACGGGTCACGCAATGCTTCCTTGTTATTCATATCAGCTTGCAAAATTGTGACTCCTGGCAGAGATCTGGGGGATGCCACTTTCCCAGATGCAACGTCTCTTGTTCCTGCAAGGATGTTTAGCTTGCCTGAGTATTTTGTGGACAAAGCTCTTACTGCGGCTGAACCAATTGATCCACTGCAGCCAAGAACAAATACTGTAGGTTTTGACATGGTTGTCAGATGGGATACTAGCAAAAGACAAAAAATCAGCTCATGCCAGTTCACTTTGTCAAAAATTTTCTGATGATGAGATAACTCATGAGCAAAGCCAACCCTTTAGGGCTAACTGTGCTGACTCACCTTATATAATTATTAATCAGGTGTGGATTAATATGAATTGGTCATATAAACAAAGAAAACGATTTACTACCCAAGATTGAGCTGCATTAAGAAGTATACACGTACACAAGCCAGACAGGCGAAACTTGGGACATTGACAATACGTGCAATACACATATACCTGGCGATACAGATAGCTTACAGATCTCTTGCAGCTAAAAATAATATTAAGATCAAAGTAAAATAATTAAAAATTATATAAATAAAAAAATTGAAATTGAAGTTGCTAACTACTATTAATAGTGTCATCATATTTATAAATAAGATTTGATATAAAAAATGGGAATTTAAATTTCCCTTAAATTGTTAGTGATTTTCATACTGCTTTTATCACTAAAATAATAAAAGTCATGAAATCTTTTAACCCTTAAGTTAAGTTAAACTTCGAACCTATTATAACAAAATCTTTGGTTCCAGCTATAAATTAATGTGCATATAGTGCGTTCTAGTGTTTGGTGACGTACTTAAAGGCAGAGACATTATGCACCCTAAGGACACAGTATTTACTCAACAAAGTTTTATATGTAGACTGGCGCTGCCCTGAGGTCCAACCCCTTACCCTTTTGTACACCACTTTTGACAAAAAGGTACCCCTTTCATATACCTCCTACTGACAAATGGTACCCCTTTCACATACCTACAATCCTGGACAAAAGTCCTTGGGACAGTGCTGCAATATTCCTAATTTTCTGTCATTTCTCGGTTCCCTCTTAAAACAGTGCATCATTTTCGAAATTTTCTTGCAGTTCTCCATCCCCCCTCCCTATACAAAGTTGAAACTCTGAAAAAATTCTAGATACACGCGTCCAACATTGTTTGTGGGGTGAGGGGAGGGGTTGGACCTGTGTGAATTGGAAAACGCCCCAGAAACGCAAAAGTGTCCCAAGACTTTTGTCCATGATTGTAGTTTAGAAATTTGCATCCCCTTTAACTGCTGTGAATGCACTTTCTTTAAAATATGAATATTAATCACTAAACCAAAACGTTTTCTCGACTTTTTTACAGCCATAAATTACATCTGTTATTCCTTTTGGGCCTTTTTACCAACCGAAATGACAGATTTCCCTACCCTTTCATATGTCTGAAGCCTGGTACCCCTTTAGGGCGGAGCCTCCCCGTCAAGCCATTAGAGGGAGTACCCCGCTCCCCCGGGCTTAATTAGGAAGGGGGAGTTAGATTTGCAGCTCGCATTTTTCAGATGAGCAGAAATACGACTTATTTACCTTTAGTTATAGTACGTGTAATCAGAGCCCATAGCAAATTTGTTTTCGCTCCAGTGAAAGTCGCTCGAGTAGTCGCTCGAGTATCTTTACGAGTGCATCTCGTCACTAGTGCCAATCTCCCGCTGCTGGGCAAAATTGGTTCAGCCTGGTTATTTTTGGTCTTTTCTTGTGGCAATGACATGTAGGTTCTCCTGACATGGAAAGACAAGAGCTATAGCTGATATCATAATGCGACGTACGTGTAGATAGCAAGTATGGCAACTACAGAAAAGTTGCAGAATGAGATTCTACTGAAGGAAGAGGCATTTTTAAAAGAAGAGAAAGCTAAATTAACTGAACAGCTCAACAAACTGAAGGTACAGATGTATTCACAGTACACTCGATCTTTGTGGGTACAGTAGATTATTAAGCTTATTATTTTTGGTAATTCCCGGAAAAGTTGAGTTAACAGATAGTAACAGATCTCGTAAGAGTATTAAAAAAATTAAAGATGTGTTAGTGTATTAAATAAAATGTTGTTATCCATTTTATTCTAAGGTTTTGTTTAGTAAACTTTTGAGACATTCAAAGTCTCCTTTTTAAGCAGGTAAATAGTGTATATCACTATAATTACTCAGGTGGTTTTAGAGATTTGTGTGTCCTGATTGGTTGAGGATTGTGTTGAATGCCACTACAATCAACAACAACAACAACAAAAAAGCATGGACATGGAAGCACCCTAAGCAGTGCTGAATGCATTTTTTTTAGGGGGGTCTGGGTGTGAATAATCTGGATGCTTAAATTTGGCAAATGCCAGAATTCCATATTGAACATGAAAATAATACAAACAAAATACAGTCCTTGTTGTGGACAAAGAAATAGTAAAAACTTCCAATTTGACTTAGCCATTAAATCAGTCAAACGTGGCTTCAATCAACTCTAATATGTGTAGTTCAGTGTTACATTAGGGAAATAAATGCTACACTATGCACATCAGGCTACCATTTTGTGCTGTCTAAATTTGGTGGGCAAATATATACCTCCGGCCCCACCAGTAGTGCTGCTCTTGGTAAGTCCATTGCAGTGAAAATGCATTAAATAACTGGAGTTTGTTTCAGTTAAACATCTGTAAATTTTGCTAAGTATTTCACTACTGTTTGTGTTTTATTTGTGTACTCAGAAAGAACCAGGTCAACAGTGGTGGATCTAGACCTTCAGATAAGGGGGGGCCTGGTCATTCAGACCCTGAGATCAGAGGGGGGAGTGGGGGGGGGGAGATTTCAAAAGTTTTCTTTTGGCCCTTCGGGCCTCAGTTTGGTCTAAAAATGGGGATTGCAGACCTCCCCTGTATCCGCCACTGGGCAAGACTTACTGTACACTCGTTCTAATTTTGTGCTTTTTTCTTTGAAAAATGACAGAGTCCTCAAGATTCATATAATAGTTTTCTAAAACCTCATTTTTCTTTGAAGTAACCTTTTTGTTTACCTTTTATAGGTTGCAGCATTTGCTGATGTCATCTCTTGTATATCATCTCCGTCTGTTTTAATCTTTTTACTAGGTTGAGGAGATGGCTCTTATGAAGTTGCTGAAACCAGACAATGAACCATCTCATCATACAACTCTAGAGCTGTTTGCCAAAAAGCCTCAACTTGTAGGTTTATGTGAAATTTTTGACTTTTTGGTATCTGTTCCTTTAACCCTTTTTTTGCGCTCTATCTAGCCAAAAAGAAGCAAACCTCCCCAAATTTTTTTTTGCAATGTCAAGCACTTTGCTGGCTTTTGTTCCTGATGCTAAAGTATGGCTTTCAAAGTTTATTATTTAGTTCAAATTTTGGAGGACAAAAATGTCTCACAGTCTCTGACTCTTACGTGTTTTGTACCTGAACATGTAAGCGTGAGCAAAGTAGGGGGGGTCCGGTGGCATGCTCCCCTGGGAAAATTTCAAATTTAAGTCTTTTGAAATGGCTATAAATGTATCTAAAACTACCATTAGTAGTATAAATTTGTAATTATTACATCGGCACTTAAAACAACAAGTTACAACCTAACCCCCTGCCCCATGTTAGACCAAAATTTAGATGAATAGACTTTGAAGCTTAACCGAACACACGCAACAGTTGAGTGCCACCCGGACATTTTTAAGCCAGATTCTCTGAAGGTGCCAAAGTTGCCTTTCCAGTTGTCATGAAGAGCTACAAATGCATTTTTTTACAGGGGGGTGAGGATGGGTGTTAATATGTTCAGCATGTTTGAAAAAGGAGTTGGGAAAGAAGTGATCAAAGGAAGTGTGTTTGCAGAGTTAGGAAGGGGAAGCAGGGAAACTTAGCTGATCGATCTTTTCACTCCTATCCCATCCTATACCAAGACTTGAACTGATAAGAGGAATTTTGTTTGATGTTTGAACTTATTCACCTGCCACTTCTAAGCAAACACTTTGAGAACAAGTAAAAACAATGAGGAGATTGAAATGTGTGACATTTTTAATAATAGCAAATTAAGGGTTGGACAGGTCTGGAGTGCCAAATTTTGCTGTCAAGTTCTCTGCCCAAGACAAGAAACTTTGCTCTATAAACTGATGTGATCACGACCCCTGTATAATGCTTGAATTGTTTGTACTTACATTTTGCCCTTTTGATTTTCATTTGTTTAAGGCTTCAGCTTCCACCCAGAGGGTCAATGAGTTTGAAACAGAAACGGAAGTCAACCACATACCTCTTCAAGCACTTGACAATCTGGATATGTGAGTAAATGTAATAGAAATATATTTTCTGAAGTTTTTAGGCAAGAGATAATCTGACTCTTGCTTTTTTATGCTCTCCTCTTAAACTGAAAATCTCCCCTGTATTAGAAGTTTTGTTTTTCAGACTTTCGAAAAGCAAATCAAAGGGCTAGCACATAGAAAAATTATTGTTTAATTCGTTGTATTGCACTGCACATTGGGCACTGCGCATTTTGCAATCATTTGAGGTGGGGTTAATGCAAATCACAATGCAACATGTTCGCCCAGCTTTGTCTGCTAAAACAAAACTGCAAATTAAATGACTCTACACTGCTCAAGAATAGCAAAGGAAATTGCCATGGTAAGTGGAATTTTTGTCAAGGGAAGGAGCCAGAAATTGCATTATGCACATTTGTAAAAAAGATCAGAAAAATGTTTGAACCAAACTAGTCTATTATTACCTGAACCAGGACGATCACAAGCAACAAACCTTGAAACACAGAAACAAACAAAACGGATAAAAATCGCAAATCACAAACCATGACCTTTTGAACTTGTTCAAGAAAACATCTTTCGTAAGAGGTCGCGGGCTAAGATGATTGATGGAACAGAAAAACCCAAAATTCCTTCAATGTCTGCAAAACACGCAGCACAATACAACAAATTTGGCTGTAATGTATTTATAATAACAGAATAGACTTGCAGTAAAGTGGAAGCATGCAATAATTTGTTTCACATTTAACAATCAATTTTAGGAACAGGCACATTGCTGAAGGGGAGGAAGAAGAGTTTGAAGATGATGACGAAGATGACACAGTTGATTACAGTAAGTCTTGACCCTTCAGTTTCTAAGAGATCAGAAGCATTACAAATTCCAAATTTCATGTAACCCAAAAACAAATGGAAGTCAAGTGAAATGACTGTTGCTCTGATAAAGTTAGTATAATAGGGTTTAGTTCATCGTTTGTCTCATGATAATTTTTCTCACTTTGATATTGATCGCAACGTTTCGACCTCACACTGCATGTCTTCATCAGCCTATAGTGTCAATTTACTGAGTCAGACTATTTGTACCACCATGCATGGTTGTTAGTGATTGGTGTACGACACAAACCTCGCTTATGGTTGGTGGGTTTTGATCCAAAGTGTTGCTGGTATTATCAGAGGAGGAAACTGATCCCTCTTCTAATAATACCAAAAGTCAGTTGGCTTTTGAACTTAAGAATTCGCTTGTTTTTGAAAAGCGCAGTAAACGAGTGACCATTAAGTGAGCTTCCACTTTTTGCACACAACACAGTTACTTGTATGAAGCCAAACATTTTTTACCTCAGCTACTAACTTGTTGTGTGAAAATACTTTGCTTGAAAGACAACTATGTCTGACAGGGTGAAATTATAGTTTGTAAACTTTTCAACTTTTAGGTCAACAGCTATTGAATGCAATGTCACATCTTAACCAGCAAAACAGTAATATGGATCAAGACAACTCCAGGTAAGTACTATTTTTAATTTTCTTTTGTCTGCGCCATGTTTGTTAAACTTTTAAAAGGACGATCTCACTCCAGAAAGGACACTATATTTATAATTCCCACAAAGAAAAAAAAATTATAAAATGGCAAAAATCCCAAACAGTCTGACTACAGTAAAAACCCGTGACTAAGAACCTGCATTTTTCCAAGTTAACCTAAACATGCATGTTCTTAGATAAATGGTAATAATTAGCACAAATTTTGGCTATTTAGGTTCTTTTTTTTCTGAAGAAATAAATACATCGTAGCTAAGAGTATTTAGCAGTATTCAGCTTATTCTGTATATAAAATTGTATAACTGCATCAATATCAATTTTTTATAATATTGGCACATGTATATGTTGCAGTTAATTTTTTATTTCAGTTAATTTTTGGTTTTCCTTTGTCTTAAATTCATTAGCATTCATACCCAGAAACGATGGAAAAATAAAAATTAACTGAAATAAAAATTAACTACAACATATACATTGCAGTTGGAGTGATAAGGCACCTATGTCTCCAAAGAGGATTTTCGAAAATAAGAACCAGCTGTTTCAAATTTTAGGCTAAACAGGTTCTTGTATAGAGGGGACCTAACTGGCAAATTTTAGCCTAACGGGTTGTTGATAGACTGTTTATGGTCCCCTATTTTTCTGTGAGATCGTCAAGAAATGGCACGACTTCCCGTCAATGGCGGCCATCTTGGTATGAGACAGAATTATATCACACATCTTCCAGTTTTTCCTAATTTTTACTATCTTATGAGGAGAATTTTGTCGTGATGAGGTGGAAATCAGGGGCTTAGAAAACAACCAGCAACTAAGAGAAATGACTCTCAACTTTTTATCTGTAAATGTAGAAATGTCGTCATGGATATAATTTGACTTTTCATGTGATTTGAAACTTGTAACATACCCCCTTTCTTCTTTCATTGGAAATTTTTTCTTTGATAGGTCTGTCTTCCATAGCATAATGCAGCAAGAGATTGACGATTTTAATGAAGAAGAGGATGAATATTTTAATTAACAGATCTATACCCATATATTTATTATATGTATAATATACTAGAACAAGAAATAACAAAGACCTTTCCTTTACTACATCAAAAGAAGTGTCACTCTTCATGATATCTCTGCATTCTGCCTTGAGAGACAACCCTTTGATGCTCTTTTCTTTTGCATCATTTTGGTAAGATTTCTAACAGTAGCTCACAAGTCCAGTTAACCAGGGAAGTTAAATTGGTTTTTAATTAATTTTCACTAATAGCATTTCAAAAACAGTATGGACTTAAGTTCTCTTAACCTGTGTCAGGCTCTCGGTCAGTGCAGACAAACAAAAAAAGCAGGCACGCGTTAAACAGCGGAAAGAGAGAAGAGGAGCTGAGAGCCTGTAAGTATCTTTAGAAATACCTCAGTCTGCCCACTTCCTGAAAAACTGTTTCTCGTGTCAAAATGACATATGTTAAAAGGTCTAAATGGGCTGTAAAGGAGGCTGTACACACCCTCACTATGTTTTTGCTTTGTCTCTGCACGTGTGAAGCCAAGCAATTGATGTGGTTGACCTAAACTGTTAAAATTGACCAACATAGGGTATACCAGGAGCTGGTATATCAGAATGAGGTATTGAAAACATTGATGACAGGCTCCACTTTCCCGTCTCTCCCCAGCTTCCCCATGGTTTTCATGCATCTTTTTTCGGTGCACTTTTCCAATATCTTGGAGCCTGGAATAGGCTTAAATTCTCTCAGGCCCAATTTACACCGTTGCATACCATATGCTTATGATAAACCTACAACACACATTGTAGTATGTATTCTGCAACAACCACAACAAGTCCTTTGTAGGTTTGATTTATACAACTCATGTCATAGGATTATTGTAAGGATATTGCATGTATCAAAATTGTTCTGTACTATCAGCCTTAAGTCACTCAAACCACTGAGTAAGCTTGGCTGTAACAAGAGCCACAGATTTTGGCTCCCGACAGCCCCACTGTAATACATGTACATAAGATGTGGATCTAGTGGCAATGCATCCACAGGATGACAAGTCAGCAATAAATTAATTTTACTCAGGGAATTTAGTATTTTTCCAACAAACACGAATACTTGTCTTTGTATTTAATTGAAAATTATTATATTAAATAGATCATTACAAGGATTCTGCCTGGACAAGTTCCATGATACAAAGGTAGCAGTTATGACTAACATTACAGTACAACATCACTTTGTTCTGGTGCATACTTATAAATGTAGCAGAATCTGTTTGTAATAATATTAATTTAAAAAAAAATCCAAATTAGCTAACAAAGAAAGGGATCACTCATGTGAACCAAAATACCCTACATTCACTAAGGTATGTCTCTCTCTGTGAATTCTTTTTGGATCAGAATTGTGTGAATGTAAGCATGGTTAAAATGCTCAGCATGTGTCAAACAGGTTGCTGAAACTGCTGTCTTTAAGTTAACAAAAATGAAATAAATTCCTGTAGTAACACTGCTGAGGGTTGTTACTTCTGGAAAGACTGTGAGTTGCTGAACTTCCATTTACGAGCCTGTCACATCTGCAGCTGAAGCTGAAAGTCAAAAAAGAAAAAAAACAAGAACTATTATTACTAAACAATATTATTGGATGAGGTTTTGTGATATCCAGAATAATGAAAGTCAAGGTAAGTGTTATCAGCCGAGCAGAAGGCCAAGGCTAATAACACTTGTACCAAGACCTTCATTATTCTGGATATCACAAAAACCAAATTTAATGATAATAATTGTATTATCATACATTGTTTTTAAGAAAATAAGGACAAACACAGCATCAAGGAACACAGTTTGACATTGCTCAAAGAAATCATGCATTGCGCGTGCAACCTACAGATCTATCACTAATCTGCTAGCAGATAACTAATTAATTTGTAGGTTGCTCTGATTTCCAAAATTAACTGTAAGCTCTTAGCCAATGAGAAGACAGGTAGTGAGTACAATGCATAATAAATGAACTTATCATTTCCCCCCCCCTCCATTCTGGGGGGTGAGGGTAACTCCAGGCTTGTGACCCTTACTGTGGAAGTACATGCAAAGCCTGCATTTCTCATTGATTCCAAGAGCTATGCTACTGAAAGATTTTACTTCAGGTAGGTCCAACATGCTGGATTGGTCAAGGGTGAGAAGCCAATGAGCCTCTGGCCCTCTGTGTTGGAATTTGGTAGGAAGCTTATCACTCCACACTATAAAGAGAGTTTCCAAAGATTTTTTTTCAAACCAATATTTGTGTTATTTGAATGCCAGGATTTGAGATTTTAGGGCCAAATGGGGGCAAGATTTGGGATTGAAAACATGCGCTGAATGTGGGAAGGTAGTATGCAGAGAACAACCACCAGGATTACTGGATTGAGGTAAAATTTGGGTTGGGATATATGCTTGAGGAACTCTATTTGGTACCCTCTATAAAAACTGGAATACAGGAACAGGAACCTGCCCTCTTCTCTGCTTGTGTATTTGCACAAGCTCTATAACTATACTATTCCCCTGAACCTTCTGCAACAGTTTCCCAGAAAGCTACCAATGGCCCTTCCCTGGAGACATAGGCATGCTAATGTTCACAGCAATATTAAATCATTATTGTTTTCAGAAGGGTTCTTACACATTGTAAAAGCACAACGTAAGAGCATACTGCGCACTTTCCATTTCTTAATTATTTTTGCTGTGGCAACTGTACATGGTTTCTCATCTGAGGGTTTGCTGTTATTGTCTTTGATTCATACTCTGTTTACTACTCCTTGAAAGGTTTGAGCTATAATTTAACTATTTTTTGCCCAGCAAAGGAATAACGCCCATGAAACTGCCATTCAGGATTCAAAAAGGCTCACGTGGTATGTTTACCATTTCCTTTAAAAAATAATGACTTTTTAAATAATAATTATTGAAAGATACTAATTAAGCACACAGAGTTCATTTCAATGACATTCCAAAAAAGTTTTAAATGTAGCCACACAAACCTTTTCCATCACAAGCCACAACTTTCACTTTTTCCACCTTGACAACTTCTCCCATATCCCTGAATTCTACTCCATTCAATACAAAGGTCCACACATTATCACAAAACCTGTATGTGTTCAAACTACCCTGAAATAAAACAGAGACATGGATTTATGCTTTCATTATTTCAACTTGTTAAAGCCAACATATGCTGATGTGAATACTTCAATACAACACATTATTTTTCATTTTATTTTTTATTGTACTGTTAAGTGTAGGCTTGTATACAATTATTTTTATTGTAGAGATAATAGTGAGTTTCTCTGACAACCTGGGCCCCCCAAAATCCCTAGAGAATAAAAGATTTGTTGTGTAGTTAACACTATGTCAATAAGTAAGAAAAATTTTAATTCTGAAGGAGAGATGTAAAGTATGATTCAGTTCCTAAAAAAAGATGGGACATCTTGCTCTAGTCATTGCATCTCATTACAACACTTTATTATTTTCCAACTCCTGCTCTTTTTTCTGACTAAAACAATATGGTGTTATTTATGTAATGTGTTAACTAACCTTAAAACTAATCTTGCTCTTGACTTTGTTAGAGAGGGCATGGTTGATAGCCTTATCAAACTGCAACAGGACTTGCAGGGCAAGTTGGGGACTAATCTGTTGTGACTAAAAGGTTACAAGATAACTTTAGAAGCAACATTAATAAGGTACCTGTAATAGTTCAGTCTCAAGTTAAATAAAAGCAAGGAAGACAAATTTTTACACGTAAGGTTAAGTCCATTGGCCTCACAGTGGCACTCTGAAGCCATTGTAGCTACCAATCCGCTGCGAAGGATCAGGTTTTTTTACACAGTGCAGCGTCAAGTTTTTTTAATGAAGTGCAGTGTGGGATAGGATATACATGTAGAAATCAGAGAATTTTGGTCCAAAATAGGGTACAGACTGTATGTGAAACTGATTAGTGGCATGCAGAATTAGAGTTATGGTTTAACCTTGCGTAAGGTAGGGCTTCTTTCATGCTAAGTCTTACAGATTGCTAATTACCGCTGAAAATGGTGTGCTATAGGCTATTATTGAAGGGTTTCAATGCCCTCAAACGGGTTTAACCCCAGCCTTCTAAGCACTTATGGTAACTAGTCAGAATCTAAATTTAACCATGCACAAAACAACCTCTTGGCAATAGCAATGTATTTTGGCCTAAAGGTGATTTTGAAATGGTATGCGAATTTACCTACAATTGCATTCATTTGCTTCAGATAAAATTTTACGAGACGTCTCTGAGAAAAAAGTTAGTTACACTAACTTCCTCCTCTTCTAGAGCCGGGTAGAGTCAAACCAAAGTACGGCAAGCTTACATGTTCCTTTGACTTGGTTTTGCAATCGTGGAAAAAGCTCAGATGATATCGATTCTTCCGTTTAATCTTACATGTTACCAAAACATTTAACACCGCAGAAACACAACGGTGAATCCCGCCAGAGACTGGACCTAAGGTTTGTATTCCATGGAGTCAACACCTTGTTCACCTGATACGGACCGCCATTAAATCTACAAAACATTCACCGCCTACGACTATTCCATTCGAAACATTCATTACAACATGAGAAATCTGGCCTTTAACGATAGTGGACAATGAACATCTCGAATGATATTTTTGGACTAACAGTCCGTACAAACGGGATCGCAACGAACAGATAAATTCAACTAAACGTGGCTTTGAGACAACGACATCACGCGATTAGGTAGAAAGAATACATCTTCGTGGATTTCACCAAATCCCCTCTTTCCACAGACAGAAAGAAGAAATAACTGGTAGTTTACCTGAATTAATTCATCTAAACTCTCCTGTAGGCTGTTCCCTAACGTTGTGTTGCGATACAATTGATAGCTCATCTTTCCAGAGCGGTTCCGAGTTTTTATACTGCTCTGCTCCCAGCCGCTTCCTTTTTTGGATGCCACGCTGAGCCGCCATCTTGTTTTTTACCAAATATGGCTATATGCTTTAAGACAACTTATACCACAGGACACCCAAGCAGTTTCTGGGCAGTGTCGAAATTTTGCTTACCAGTTTTGAGAAAAAAAACCGACCATTTTGCAGTCTATTAGAGGTGCGAATTAACGACGTTTTTCACATGTGAGAAAAATATTTCGTCCAATCAAAAGCCGCAGCGGTGCCTGAATCCCGCCTATAGGCAGTCTAGATGCTTGCAGCGACCTCAATCAGCCCAGCTCAGCACTACAAATAAGATGCCATTTCCCTAAGAAAGAATAGGACCTTTTTGAGTTCCAAAACATCTAACATATTAAAAAGTGTCACGAGACTTTCTCGTGAAAATGGGTTTTGTTGGCATGAGAATAACTAGACGCATATCATGAACTGCGAGAGCTCAGGCTTCCGTATAAAAAAAAGTTCCAATGAGAAAACTTCACCTAAGAAATCACTGCCTTCAACGTATATCGAGACAAGATCCCCATAGTGTGGGCTCATTGGGCTGCCAACTGCGCGATGCAGTGGTTTTAATATAATGTTTTGAGCCTGAGTATCGATTATAATTACACTTTTTTTCCGGCTTGAGTGTAAAGCTACTTCTAACTTGTGTGTCTTTGAACAAATCGCAGAAGTGCTAAACATTGTTTAGTCTGCGTGACAGGCGTCGAAACATGGGAAAGGGGAAAGAGGGAAAAAGGGAGAGGAGATCGGGGAAAAGGACCCCTCTCCCTCCCTCCCTCCGTCTACCTTTTCCCTTTCGCGCTCTTCTTCCGTCTTCCCCTTTTTTGCGCCTGTCACGCAGGGTCACATTGTTTTACAACTCCGCGTACGACTCGTGCCACTTATATATCACTTTCAAGACAAGACAAGAAAAGACAAGATTTGTTTCACTCTGCTCGATTTTACATATGATACAGATTGAATTAACAAAGACAGAAAAAATACATTTATATAAGTAAAGAGTAAAAATTGTAACATCTAGATAAGGAGCAATTTGGGATCATGGCCAAATGGCAAAAGCTAATCTAGTGACCCCGAAAATATAGTTAAACACAGAATTATGGAATACTGCTTTTTTTTGAAAAAGTGTTTCTTCACGCTATGTTGATAGATGAATATTTAATTAGAATAAGGACTAAGCATAGAGTTCTCTGGAGCTTTACAAAACAGTTTAAGAGAATTTAAGTTAGATATATTTGTTGGCTGGGAATTCCAAAGGCGAGAGCCAGCGAATTTTAGGGACCGTAAGCCATATTGGGTGGACATGGATTGATCAGTGGATGGTCCAGCTCTAGCTGCTGCTGCTGGGGTCATATCATCATTTTTCGTTTTGCCTTGGATTTTAGCAAGGCGTAGAAGTTTAGATGATGAATAATGAATTTCATTTATTTGAAAAGCGGAATGAAGAAATAAATGAAGAGAAGACCTTCGCAGTTAAAGACGCAGCTTAAGTTTCTTGGAATACTCGTTAAAACCAAGAAAACCAGGTTCTTTGGAATGTCCAAGAGAGCGGTTCATCTCGGAGGACTTGGCTTCCCCGGCCTCCCCTGCCCGATATACGCTAAAAACACTTTGTACGGCATCGCTCAAATCACACGTGCTGGATAAAGAAATGCCGAAAAACTGGAGAAGAATTATAATGAATAGTTAAACAAAAGCTGCCATCTAATCAGTCCTGCAAACCTGAAGTTTGGGCCCCGATCGCGAGTTCAAAGAGGCTTTGAACTCGAGTTTTTTGTTTTACCGCTAAAACGGTTAAACCAAATGGGGACCCTCCCATAATATTAGTCTGTTTTGAGGTGAAAAATTATGAAAAAAATACTAATTAATTAATTTTAATTAATTATTAGGAGTTACTATGGCATGGCTCTGAGGGCTCTACAAAGCCGGTAGACCTTTACAAACTTTTATCACCCTTGAATTTTACTAATGTGATAAAATCTTAACTCAAGTTACAGAAACATGCTCATGCTATTTTTTCTCCTTGTTGTTTACGTCGTCACAGTAAAGAAAAACTAAAATAAACATGGCAAAAGTGAAATCTGCGCACATCAGAAAAACAGACAAAATCAACTCTACTTTACCAGTTACAGCTAACAGGAAAACTAGTGGCATGTTAATAGCCACTCGATAGAAAACGCAGCTAGCATTGAACGACCTGCTTACAGCTTGACCGTTGAAGATATAAAGTACTGCGTGAGCTATACTCAAACTGAAGTGAAAACCCAGAAAGGTGTCTGAGTAGCCTGCTGAAGGATCCAAGTTCAACGCGCTTCGTAAGTGTTCGACGTTTTTTAAGTACACGCCACCAGCAAATTGAACAATGCCTGTGACAACGACCGCAAATGAGGACCAGGAGCCGGACGGAAATCTAAAGACCAGGCCAGCAATCACTTTGAAAAACAAAACAAGGGTAGCGTCTTTCTCGGTGAAGATCCAGACCAGGAATGTACCCACCGCCAACGAATTGTCTAGCGCGACAAAAAACAAAAGGTAGCGAACTGGAGCCGTACCTGCTTGGAACAACTTCCATGCAGCTAAGTTAATGAGGACTATCCTTGTAAACACTGTTATGTTGATATGGCCATGACCGGGAACTCTGTGGCGAGACCTGGATGCCACGATCAGCAAAAAACCCTCGATAGCGAGGGAAAGCGCGCCAAGTTGTATGTAACCGGAAGTTCGACCAACCAGCTCGGCTTGCCAAAAGTCTGCCCACATGGACGGTATCAGGAGCATAGATGTTCCCAAAAGAACGTAAACCAAGGATGACCATTGAGTAAAACGTTCGGTTGGGGTCAGCGATAAAGAACGATCGGCAGAAAACAATGTTTTGAGCGAGGGAGGCAGCATTACGACCGGATATTCAGTTCCTGAAAGAGGAAAAGAATACGAATTGAGGTTAGAACGCGATTAAAATTAAAGTATACCTTCCCAGCCAATAGCTTTTAACACTAAAAGATGCATTCTTGACACATTTTGTTTCAGTGACATCCAGGGTTTTTTTTCCGTCAAAGACAAATGCGTTTTGGACACTAATTTTACCTTAGCCTGTGAGCAAGCCCTCCATTTGGGTGAGTCGCAGAAAGTCACGCGAGCTTGCTAGCAGGCTAACATTTTGCCTCAGACCTCTCATTGAGAGTGCGGACTTAGAAACCCGTCAAAATATCCATACAGTCCATGCGAAGTATTTCAAGCTGATTAAATCCTTCTTCGGCAGAAACGACTGTTTTTTTGAAAAATATCTGTTCTTAGCCTGTCCTCAGTTGCCGTTTAAGGAGTAGGAGAGGAGCCTGGGAAGGAGGTGAAGAAAAATTACCATCTCTAAGCATTTGATGCGTGGAACTTGCTTACCTAATGAGGCGTTTTTGATAAATTTAGCGAGTATGAATAATTGCGATGGAGTTTGAAAGAACGACGTTCAGTCGCTGTCGTCGTTGCCATGGTATAACTGATTTTTTAACTCCCTAACTATCCCAGGCAAAAAAGCAATCAAACATACCAGAACCCCTTATGAGTTTCTGAACATTCCTCATACATTTTCACAGAGACCGGCCTTCTTAAAGAAAGCTCCTGCATACATACACTCAACGTTATAAAACCAAGTCCAGACTGTTTTTCCGTGTGGTACAAATGATGGAACTGAGAAATAACTGGAGTGGAGTGAGGATTCAAGTGCTACAAATAGCCCATCATATAAATCACTAAGCGTTAGTCGTTTTAGGTTATTAGGGCTTTTAGATTATTTGTAACCGCTTAAACGTTTACTCCATAGTGACTTCTTTGTTCCATCTCGTCGTTTTACAACGCTTCGTTTTAGTTGTTCAGCATAGAGGTCGCCAGTTTAGGCGTGGTTTTTGAGCGATCGGCGATACGATGCAAGGCATAATGTAAAGCTCTACACAAAGTTAGGAGGTATTTATAATAACAAGAACAATTATAGAGTATTCGGTGAGTTACCTTCGCCTTTCGGAGGTGCTCGGGTTTAGAATGCCGTAGGGATTTACGCAACGGTAGCAGTGGAAGCTGGCGTTTGCATTTGTTGACGTTGACAAACGTTTATGTGCGAAGTGAACTTTGAATAAATTTACATACATTCATGCAATCCGATTGTTATTTAGTCTCCTCCCCCCGACCTACACAGCCGTTTTTAGAGTCGTCACGCAATGCTCCTCCCGAGGAGCGTTGCGTGACGACACTAAAAACGGCTGTGTAGCAGGCTAATTGTTATTGGAGGCCAATATATTTTTACAGCCTTTTTGTAATAATTGCATTCATTAAATTCTTTAAAATGTATCTGGTCTGATGGGAACATTTAGGAGGTCTAGGTCCCCCGGTGCCCTTCCCCTAATTCCAGCACTGATGGACATTTTCCGTACAGACAAACTTAAGGCTAAAGACAGAGGGAAACGAACGCATGTACTCGTTCTAACACTCTGGTGGAGGGAATGAGGAGGGGGGGGGGGGGGGAATATCTATTTTTGGGGGGGGGGGGAGCCGCCCCCCAAAATGGGTATTTTTTAGGCCTTTAGGTTCTCCCAACGGGCATTTTTAAAGGTGCAAAAGGATGAAAAAGCTTTCCTTTTTACTCCACACAGGTATAAATCTTTGTTTAGTAATAAACCGTGCACCCCCCCGAGAATGCGGGTAGAAGGACAACATAACAAAAGAAAAAAAAAGGGGAGAAGAAGGGGGGGGAAGGATGGGAGGTGACGTGGTGAAGCGGGGGGGGGGGGGGGGGGGGGGGGGGGGGGGGGGGAATATCCTATAATGGCGATGCGGGGAGACTGCTCCCGAAACGGGTACTTTTTCAGGCCTTAGGTACATCCAACGGTGCATTTACTGCAGTCAAAAGGGATGAAAAGGCTTACCTTTTCTGTCCAAAAGGGTATACAGATATGTTTAGAGATAATCAAGTACCAAGGACGTCAGTCGTTTAATAAATGATCTGTAACCTCAATAAGAACCCCATTGCCACGGCTCGCTCTGCACTTGTATCCGTATTTTCAACAATACTTCAGTTAAATATTATTACTTAAATAACGATTGCACTTTCCCTCTTTAGGAGGCACTTGTTTTTACAGAGAAAATGGCATTATTCACTACCAATTCGATTTTGGGGGCACAGAAAGTTTCGGTCTTTTTTGAATGTATCTAATGGGCAGCAGAAAGAGGAAACGTTTTTTAACTGGCCTAAAAGTCGTCTTCATTCAGTTAACATGACGACACTTTCCCCCTTTTATGATACGTTTTAAGTCCTCTCGCGGCTTCCTTATTGATTCCAGGGGAAGAAGGATTTGATTGTACTTTTCATGGACTGCAAAACAGTACGTATTTTTCCGTAAAACACCTTTATTTATGCAAAGTTTCGGTGCGAAAGGGACGTTCTTCGTTTTGCAATTGAGGACGCTTGAATTTCCAAGCTTTTGCGTGACTCGGCATTTAGATTGCGACCGGGAAAGCTCTTATGTGGGTTAAAAACGTCACCGATTTTGCTATCTAAACATTTCTCGTCTCAGTATAATATAACTCTAATCTTTTATAAGCTCCTCAAAGACAGTTCTTTCTGTTGGTTTCCGGCCTCCATATTTGTGTGGAAACAGAGAAGGAAGCATTTGCGATTGTGGCTTCTCGATCTTTTCGGGCGGGAGAGAAGCGACTACCGCGAATGCGTCTGCGTTAGCAACTTAACGAACTGAACAAGTGGAGAATCCTTCTTAAACCCTAGAAAATACTGAACAAATGATCTTTTATAGTTATTTTATTATTACTCATTTAAAATTTAATAACAACTATTTGTTATTATAACAGTTAAGGGAAAGGAGACACTCATTACCGTTAAATCTTGTACAAGTGCTAAAGGTACTTCCAGACAACCAATAAAACAATTAGGCGCAACAAGGCAGATGAACATTTTTTTTCGTTTTACTGTGCTTGCATTATCTCGGTTTATGCAATCGACGCAGCCAATGCATATAAGGTCAGCCTTTTAGTTAAACTTCTGCACAGCTTGCGGCATCAATCTACACATAAACAGCGACCTTCGGTAGCCCTACAAACCTACAATGTTAAGCAGGGCACTTCTTCATAACTTAACTCTTTTCAGTTGACACTGAAGCACATAGAGAATTAAAAGGTAATAAAATAGCCTCAGAGAAAACAGCCGAAATTTCGCCACACCATCACTGGTTTCCCGGCGACATGACGTGTGAGGAATGACAGCAGACTGATGACGTATCAGTTAGATCTGGGTAGTGGTTCTTTTTGCTTCCTATTGGTCGTGCCGCAAGGGAAATTGCTTTAACCAATCAGAGGCCTCACCCAGACCAGGGTATTGGCACGTCATCAGTATGGAATTTCCGCGCTCGTTCCTCGTTCCTTTCCTTTCGCGCGGAAACCAGTGGTGGTGTCGCGAAGTCGGCTGTTTTTCCAGGTTCAAAATAAATAAACTGAACTTACAATTTACAAACTCGGTGCTAATGCTCAGTGCTTCATGCTAGCTTCATAAGCGTAAACCTACTGTTATGTTAGGGCTACCTACGAACAACCACACAAGCGCTAGTTCTTTAATCTCAGACGGAATGGATTCCTTTTCCCTGGCAAGTTTCAAACGTAAAGTACAATTTTTTTGAAAATGCACAAAATAAATTTGTTCGTTCATAAGCATGAGGCAATACATTTACGAAAATAAGCGCCTTAAAGGAGCAGTGCCACGAGGATTTTTCAGTTGTTTACGCTTTAATGATATACTTCTAAAACAGTATACACTATACTAAGAGTAATGTTGAAGTTGTGCAAAAATCATTACATTTCCGACATCCAACCATTTTTAAGGAGTCCGGTTTGCTCCCTCCACCCATGTAAGAGGTTACAATGAATACGAATGGTAATCAAGTCTGGTTCAAACAGAGAAACATCTGGTTTAATAACCAAGTTCCCCTGACCTAGTATAGTGAAGTCTCAGGAGACGAGTTTTGTAATTGTAGTCTAAAATGTGAACGTTTAAACGAAACCGCCTAATATGCAACACTTTTGAGTGGCTATTACTATCACTACATTTTCAGTACTTTAATACGAATAAAAATTGGAAAAGTTCTTTCATCTTGCCTTTGCAAACTTCTGTGAGTGGAAATAACGTGACAATGCTCCTTTAAGCTCCACCTAAACAAGTCACTAAGAATATCACCTCTCATAAATAAAATCTGTAGATTCTATAATTTCGAAAAGACTAATAATTACTTTCTCTTTGGAATATGTTTCTCCCAAGAATAAAAATAACTAAAATGTTTCTTGAGGCCTTTTCAGACAACTAAATATAAATATCTTGAATAAGAAAAATTTACGGTAACGTGTCAACCTCGTTCCCAGGGTCCCCTCCTACTCTCTCTTGCTCCGGGGACCGAGTAGGACAGGACCCTGGGAACAAGGTTATGGTAACTTACGTATTAATAAATTAAATTACTATCCTCTTACGAATCTTTGAACATCCGTTTTTTCCGCTTTTCTAAGCTATTACTTTAAACTTCCACTCCCACAGCTGTCAATAATATAGTTCGAACTTAAGAGTCTGTTGACGAAATCCAAGATAGGGGAACCTTTATCCTCTCTTGTCAATTCATAGTAAAGAAGTGTTAAAAACCTCCCCAGCAGTTTCTTCTGCTATACAAGGAAGTTCTAACTTTTGAGTATTTGGACAATATTTGGTTAAACAAATATTAAAGCTATGGAAGACTACGAACTTCACATTTGCGACGATGAAATACGACAGAAACGAAATTTCTTTTTCGAGGACAGTCATGTATTTAGTACTGGAGCAACAGCATTTTTTATCTATAGTTTTTGAAATGAATGATCTCAAAAATGTCGCTCATATTCAGAAGTAGTGTTTGTTTTCCCGTATTTTACAAAATAACTTTTATAATTTTTGTCAATCGAATTTTGCTTTGACCACGCCTAGAAGCAAAAGGGTTTAACAGGGTTTAAAACTGAAGCCCAGGCACTCTGTGCTCGGCTTTTCGGTAGATAAAAAGTATCACAGTCTGTGACCAGTAAAACACAAAAACAAACGACGACAAGTGAACGCTGCTAAACATCGCTCGTTACGAAGTGACAGCTCTTATCTTAAATGCAGCGATTAACACTGAATACCAGTTTTAATTGCCTGCGAATACAGTCGTCTTTCACCACTACCCGTCTTTCGTGCAGGCGTCCCTGCGACGGCGAGCGATGACAGGCGGCAGAATTCGCGGGCTACATAACGCGATTTTAACTTATTTGAAATGAAGTTTTCAGAGCCTATCTTTTTCTATTAAAAGAACTTTTAGAACGTTTTGTTTAAGAAAGAAAGAGATATAAAACTTCTAGTACTAGGGAAAAATAAATATAACATACCAAGATATGTAAGGCTGAGATAAACCTCTACAACTGTTACTTTGTCTTCCGATATCTAGCCAAAATTCATAAATAGCTAAGCTAAACAGTTCTCCCCATGTTCCTTGTCCAGTTCAAGATGCTGATATATGTACGACAAAGAATCTGCAGAGGCGTCGACAAGAAATTGGCACTTCATGAACGTCTCCACGAAATCGACCTGGCTATAACTTTTCTGCATTTGGTTGCGCGCGATCATTGCAACCGTGTGCGCACGCTCGGTTTCTAGCCACTCGCTGACACCAATTTCAATGCTGTCGTCATCGAGGTCTTTTGGTCCCCATAGCAACACTTGAAACATTTGGAGGGCTTCCCCGGCAGACAACCGCTCTTGAGGATACCTCCGTAATAACTGACGCGCTATCCTGCCCAGCCCCCTAGAAAATCTTGACCTTGTAGGAATTGGAGGTAGATCTGTTTGGTCGTAATCCTGCTGAATCAGGAGTGGATTAACACCAAACGGGTTTGGTCGGTGAAGTAGTTCATACATTAAGCACCCAGCCGCAAAATTATCGCAGTTTTCATAATTCAACAAATCCGTCTCTTCTGGTGCATTTAGTATTTCCGGAGGAAGGTGTTCCCAGTTCCCGCCGAGATCACTGGACGCGTTCTTTCGTAGAATGAAAGGACTGGGTCGAGAATCTTTCGCCTGCTGCAGCGCATGCTGAAAATTGGCGACAAACAAGAGCCCGCAATCCGTCAAAAACATATTTTCCATTTTCAGATCCCGATGAACGACGGTCTCCTTGTGTAAGTGATCTATTGCGCTTAAAAGCTGAAGCAAGAGAAGACAAACCTTCTTCTCGTAAGCCTCAGGGTCATTTTCGTGTTCCTCTTTGTTTCTTTTGACAAAATCCGCCACTGTTTCACAAGGGATTTGATCTGTGATGCTCACCGTTGTTTCATACGAATCACATTCAGCTTGTTTAATAACGTCACCTGATACGTTATCAGTAAAGTGCGTAAGAACACGTGACACGTTCACGTGATGCGGCAGAGACTCGCAGACGCGCATGTCATGTTTGAAAGGTGATCTTTGTGACGCGAAACTCGAAGATGGTATCGGGTACTCCACCTAAAAAAATTAAAAGATACATAACTATTTACATCCGACGTAACAAGATACAGAGAGTTGGCCAGGGGCAAAGAGTTGTCGCTCGAACCACTACATCACCATCAGTTAATTTCCCTCGAATCACGACGATCATCCTATTACCTTAGTGCTAAGCTTTCTGTCTGATGAATAATGAAAAATGGGGGAGGGGGAGGCAGGGGTTTTTAAAATTTCCATTTTCACTGAATAGGTCTGGAATCCGGTATTTTTCACAATTGTGATTTCTTTTCGCCCTGCCCTTCCCGTAACGAAAACAACCTGAGAGTAGCTCACCAAAACGAAGCTAGCCCTTTGACCTCGATATTTTTGCATGCTTTACAGTGCGGACACTAATAGCCTGTTCCAAGCGTTCAGATAGTGGAGAGCGGTGCGAAGTAAAGAAAGCGATGAAAAGTAGAGGAGGACTGGTGAACACCTGGAACAGGCTAGGACACTAAAACTGGGATACTCGGAAGAAGATTTTCCAACCACAACGTTTTCTGAAAACAAAAGATTCTGAATTTTTTTTGGAAACGGACCAATAAAATTGAAGTATTTCACTTTGCAACCGATAAAAACTTAAAACCGTTTGAACTTACCTGACCTCTCAGGAAACGGCACGTCCAATTTATGAATGTTATTGGTCGTTTGCAAAAAAACTTGAGAATCTTTTGTTTTTATAAAACGTCGAGATTGGACAATCTTCTTTCAAGTCTCCAGGTTTGAGTGTCCGTTTCACTGTGCATATCATTTTCTCTTCGGCGTAATTTAGGGAGCTTTTTCGTGTTCGTTGTGCAATCCTCCAGTAAAAAATTTACTCATCCAAATAGCCTGCGAGTAAGCTCTCCTATTTGGGCGAGTGAAGCGAGTCTCGCGAGAACGCGCGGCCCCCTCGCTCGCGCGTTCTCGCGAGGCTCACTTCGCTTACCCAAATAGGAGAGCTTGCTCGCAGGCTATCATCCAAAGAGTTGATAATGCTTTCAACTCTCACAAGACAAAACTAAAGTTACAGCGTGACGTTACAACTAGAGTAAAACCCGCATGGTCCATATTTACCGGCATACCTTATTAAGCAGACAAGAGTCACTGAAAGTCCGAAACTATTTTTTGGCTCATATTCCCCTAAAAGCAAACCTGTATTTAGCGGACCGCGACTAACGACGGTCCTGCGAGAGCCCGCTTAATGCTCGCCTCCTACACGGACGTTAATAGGGTTTCGTCACGCGTTCCTTCCAAAAGGAACGTCGAAAAGTAACTCTCTAGCAAAGAAAATCCATATTATCTACTCAACGCAATTGAGGGTACTCACCTTCGCAAGCAATTTCCTGTTTCCTTCCCAAAACATGGCACATTTAACGGGCAGAAGAATTGCCCCAGGAGAGCGCACCTCCAACGTGTTCCCATGAGCCTCGTAGTCTGACCAGCGCGTGTCCCACAAATCTACACCAACATCAGGAAGGAGCTCGTCCCTCCAAGAGTGAATCATGTCCTCCAGCGTCTGCAACTGCAGCTTTAAAATCTTGTTATAGCGTTTTTCCAGACCACTTCCGCTGGACAAGCTTCTACTGCGTGCCACCGCTGGTCTGTGCCTTTCCAGACTGCGGTTTTCAAAACTGTGTGAGCGCTCCCTTATGGCATGCCCGGAAGGTTTTGTATTTGGAGGTCTAGATGGGAGTTTAGGCCTGGATTTGAAATCTCCCTTATCTCCGGATCCGTTAATGAGAGTCGGCGACACGACTCGCACTGGTCGTCGAGGTTCTACTTTGGCTTCTGAGGATGTGTTTGACGCATTTGAATCGTCACACCGAAAGCGAACTTGCCGCGATCGTGGAATAGCTGGAAGAGGCCCCAACTTTTCTTGCTCAACTCTTGACAACGCCTCTGCGAGAATTTCAGCATCGTTCAAATTAGCTAAAGCTGTTTCAACTTTGAGAGTCAACTCGTCTTGATTAGGCTGTAGATACGTCTGGTCGTCATCATAATACTTCTTCGTTACAGCTTCTTCATCCGGACTCGGCTCACTGTGTTGCAATGGCTTTACAACTTTAGCTACGCGAGGGGGCTTTTTGGGCTTCTCTAAAGTATCCCCGCCTTTGGACAGTGGAAAATTCTGGTAGCCAATTCCTGGCTCAGTCTGCATGATAGGGGATGAAGCGCTACTGGATCTTCCATCCGACTGAAGTGTGTTCACTGGAGAAGAACAAACTGGAGAAGAGGGATCAGCTGCAGATGAAGACATGACTGGCCTAACGGCAACTTTTGTCACAGGCGATTCAGGTTTTTCTGTGTCTGACGTACTTGTGTGGTCAACGTCAGCAGGTCTCTCTTCTGAAGGAGCCTGCTGTGGCATTGCTTCTTTGTAAGTGAAAATCCCCGGCATTTCATCACCTGATATTATTGGACCGCTAATTTCGATGGTTTTGCTATGTCGGTTTTTCCTCTTACCCCCAAGTTTCTTCATACTTGCAAAAGCTTTCCTTAGGGTTGACTTGGGAGACGGCTGTACTTTTGGAGGCGGTGAACTCACGTTGGAGCCATGCGCATCAGAAAAGGACGAGGAACGAGTGGGCTTTGATTTAGATGGACTGGGACTAACTGGCTTGACTGTTGCCTCGGTGACAGACCGAGAAACCGGCGACTTTGGTGGTGGGGGACTGGAAGCTAAACAAAAACAGAATACATGAGAAGTCGAAAAAAAATCTGAGATACGTATGCGAATTAAACTAAAAATGAAAAAAATATTATGTATATGAAAGAAGGAGAGGAAGAAAACGAACTAAAGGAAAATAAAAAGAGAAAGTACTTAACGCAACAGTGTTTGGAACGATAAAACATCTCAGCTTTTCAACCACTATATATATTATGCAGTCCATAAAACCACTACATAACGTTGTCAGTCTATATTGATATAATCTGAATAATTTGGTAAAGGTGAGACTATAAAACGTTGTAGAACTAGGAGAGGATCACAAGAATAGGATTTTAAATGACGAGACAGCAAAATAAGGTCAACATGACAGTTTCCCGAGCAGCTGTTACTTGTCTCGTCACGTATGCTTCTTGCCAAAAAAACGTTGCATGACCGCGAGAAAAAATAACGGGCAGCGCAAGAGGCCAGGCCCCTGACGGACAGCAGCCTGCATTTAATACTCTTGACACAAGCTAAAGGTAAAGGTCCCAATAAGGAAAGGTGTTGGGTTGTCAGCACAGACTGCACCACTGGAACAAGGCGCCCCACAGAAGCAATCTTTGATAACAAAGGGGAGGTTTTTTGAAAATGCCTCCCAAACTCAGAGTTCTGGCACTTCTCTGTTTTGCCACAATTGAGTTGCTACCAACTCTGGGTGCCTAAAGCACAGCTTAAGATGTCAGAGAATGATTTCCTACCACACGAAAGGGGGTGGGGGGGAAGGGTTTTGGAGGGAGAAAGGAAAAAAAGAGGAGAAAAATCAATAACAGCAACTATAACTGAAAAGTGAAAACAGAGGAAAAGTGAAATCAAAGGAGAAGAAGGAGAGGGAACGGGACTGTGCCACGGGCTGGTCAGTTTATTGACGTGGACGATGAGGAAAGAGTCAGACTCAGCAGTCAGATGTGGAGTAAGAGGCTGGAAAAGAAGGCAAAGCTTATGAAACTTCCTCATCGCTGAAGGAAAAAAGCAAAGCCCTAAAGAATAAAAGTAATCTCTCTGTCTCCTTTTTCGTGAAAATATTTGAGGTCTTAGCACAGAACCCAGTTTGATAAAGTACTGTTGTTGTTCAGTTGGTAGATAATGTCACTTCTAACATCTTTTGCTGTCCAATACACAACTATGATGCGAACCGGCTGGCGTAAACACATGACAGTAAATTACTTGTTTCCCTTTTTAACCCTTAACTGTCCTTACGAATTGAACTATAGGAAAATAGACCTACAATTGAAAAAACTTCATGAGTGAGTTGAAATAATGGCATTTGAGACTGAAAGAACATGAACTCATTTAATGAGCAACATTTTCAATGCCAGTATCATCTTGACCGCTTTACCTCGTTACTGTGCAAACCACTTTATAATTAGCACTAGGGGAATACCATTGTATTGTTACCCACCACTAATAGCCCCGATAAATCATTTTCAAATTGAATAAACTGTTCTTTTTATTGTTGTTGTTACAACTAAGTGCAGGTCTAACTGTGCTAATGCTTCCTGTTACGTGTGCAAGCTTACCAGACAGGGGAGGTGGTGGGGCACATCTTTTGGGCTTGATGGGCCCTTCTTGAGTCTCCCCCGCTCCAATGCCTTCACTGTTCACTGGACTCAAAGGTACACTTTCAGATGGCTTATCTGAGCTCCCAGGATCCAAAGTCCCTTTTTTAGGGACAGGGGGTGAGGTTGGATTCGTTGCCTTTTTTGAGTTCCTTAATGAGGGTAGTCTTTCAAGGGAGGGTGGAGAGGGAGAAGGGGTACTGGGTAGGGGTGTAATTGGAACTAAAAAACAAAGAAAATTAAATAGAAAAGTGTCAGTTGAAATGCATAGTAACAAAGCCTCCTTTTAAGATAAATAAACAAGCACCAAGCAGCTGGCACAAATTAACAGAGGGCAAATTATAAATTGCAGTTTTAAATATTTTATAATATTATATTTTGTTACTTAAGTCGTTTGCCCTTAAATGCTTTATATTTAAGACCCATCAATCAAACAAGCTAGCATGCAAGCAAGCCCTCAGTCATAGCCATTCCTTATTTTATTTTTTTATCCTTCTTTTTAGATTTAATGTAGAGATGTTAAAATCAATATGATCCAAGCTGGCAACTCTCAGTTTATTTACATTTAGCAGATTTAAAATGCTTACTTTTATTAGTTTACTCTTTGTTTAAAATTACTCTCCGCTATTATGAATGTAATGAAACGATCTTAGAGGGAAGGTAGAGTTGAGTTTAATTCAAGGTAGTTGTCACAGATTTATTAAAAGGCAACTCACACCATTCTGCTGAAACCATGTTTTTTTTTTCATCAAACAGAAGAGCTTCATGGGTTCAACTTTTTGGCTGTTTGTTCTTAACTATTTACTTTTAGCTATAACCTTTTAATTCCATTCTCCCTATACCTTCCATTTGCTAACCATATTAATCTGATATTTTAAATAACACACTTGGCTAAAATGTGGGACACAGCATTTGGACACAAATTGACTGCATTAAGTCACAAGATGAGTGATGCAACCAGCAGAAACTGCAAATGGGCTTTGAGAAAGTCTAGAAACCTGCCATCTACCTGTGGGTTGCTAAAGCTAATATTATGCAATGCACTCTGGTAGGAAATACCCATGGAAGTTACTCCCCCTACCTATTAAGCTTTGCACACTGATTTCAGCTATAATAACAAGTCAGGTGTGGATCCACACCAGTTTCCAACATTTTATGGAAATGGATCACATTTTTCATAGTCAAATATATTTTGAATAATACAAGACTTTCCAAGTTGAAAACTGGCCAATATCCCCTCTGAATGACTCAGAGAACCAGGAAAGGGGACTTAAAGGCCTCCTTTAAGGAGTAAAAATCCAAAAAATTCATGGCGGAGCCCGTCCCCAGACCTTGCTTGCGCCTTCGGCACTCATTTAGAAATTTGGTCAGTCTTTATCCTGGATCTGTGCCTGGAAATCATTTCATGAGTATATCCTATTCTTCTTCTAGCTTAAAGCACCTAAGGGAAATGTTTTTGCCAGTATGGCTATTTAATTTCCAAATGTAGCAAAATTCAGTTGAACTAAGTCTGGTTTAGGTTCTGGGGTACCAATAGTGGCACATCTGTGATCAGAAGTTTCTAAGGTACACCCCACCCTCAGGCATGTTTGTTATACACAGTGCAGGGTTTTCAACAGTCTTTTAAAGTGGCGGACGTATATCTAAAAGCACCCCACGTGATCAAATTTTTTTGGTGCTGCAAAACAGCTTATGAGCCCCGAAGGTGTGAGCTACCTCAGGGGGTCTAGGGGCATGCCAATTTTTAAAACAGAACACTCAGAAATGCTGAGTCCAGCTTTTCTGGAACCGAAGAATCAGTTTCCCAGGCAACGCTGGAGTTCACTCAAATTCCCATTAAAATTAAAATTTTAAATGAAATTGGATAGTTGGTAGGGAAACGGGGAGGAGGGAATGGCAGTAAGTTCATGAGTTGCTTACCGTAAGTAAAAAAAAAATTGATAATAATGAAAAAAATTTAAAAAAACCCTCAAATATTGGCATCAAAGAACCAGACATAGGATGGCAAACGACCAGAAAATAGTGAGTGAGAAAGAAATAAAAAAGGCAGAGGATTTTTAGTCATCTCTCTAAGTTTTTCACCGCAGAGCATCCCCTAACTTTATGAATGACTGTCAAATGGCCCCTTTAAATCCAAAATGTTTAATTCAAAATGTTAAAACTTAAAGTAAAATCATAACCACCAATAGTTAACCTCATAGAGAAAAAGCCTTCTTTAAAACTAAGCTGGCCTTCTCCAACCTGACGATCAAAAGGAGAGTTCTTTATGCCGCCATTTCTTACCACACTAAGCACAAAATTATTGTCATCTTTTTATTTAGAAATTCTATAAAAAATAATGTTCAGTTGTGTAATTTATCAACAGAAACAGGTGCCAAGCTGGCAAAGACAAGGAACATGTGGAATACATAATTGATGAGGTAAAGGGAAATGAATATTCCATTCATAAAACATTCCAATAAAACCAGCAAAAAAATACATCATAATATTTAACAGAACTATAGTGCTATTCACATCGTGCCATTAACAATATAATTTTTTCTTTCCTTGCATTTGCATTGTGTTCTATGAATCACATGAATAAAAGGAAACAGAGAAAAAAATGACCTTCATTTGATATTGGATCTTCCACTCTTTCACTATAAAACTCAAAAGGAATATCCAATAGCTTAAATCATGTTTTTTTCTATAATTTATTGTTAAGACTCACATCCCTCTGTTGTCAAAGTACATGTATACTGTAGCATCTACGGTGTATGCTGAATGGCCACAACTCATGGAACAGGTTTCAAACCTCTCTTCTCACATGATCAGTTGATTCTCATTCAAAAAGGTTGGGACCACTTAATATTAGATAATTTACAGGAATAAGGTACATGTATCATTGCAACACTCCAAAGTCCCATCAAAACAATAATAAATTTGAATCCGTAGCAATCTTTCTAATCTGTGTCATTCTTCTTGCAAAATATGGAAAATCAAACACAACTTTAGACATCACTACCAGTAAAGTTGTAAAGTCAGTGATGCCATTTTAACACTTTTCTCTGATCTAGCATTGCAACTGTTATTATTTTTGTTCAAATCTAAAGCAGTGATGTGAATAGATTGACATTTGCTTATAAGTTTTGAGTGATCATAGGTAGCTGGTGTGAAATTACTAGAAGGATATGACTACAACTGCAATGTAAAACTATGTAACAAGGAGTTGAGGGATTCAATCGTTATTCCCGTATGCGATTAACATCATGATGCCTGTTCATAATATATCAAGAAGAGCAAATAATTTTTCACCGAACTGACCAAAATCAGCATGAAATACAAAAGTAAAAATGATATAAGGATTTGGTAAAAAAACATTGGTTGGATATTATCTATTTGCATCCCAAGGCATACCTTTTGTTTATGTTGAAAAAGATAATAAAAAATTTTCGTTTCAGTTTCATTGAAAGAAAGATAATCTGAGTGACTACATGTAAATAGGGGTTAATGACCCAGTGTTAAAATGATAATAAAAGTCAAAAATGGCAAATAGGACAAGGTGATCAAGCTGATAACAAATTATAAGCAGACCATAAAAATTCATTTCACACATTTCATAGACAGAAAAACAAATGCTTGTTTCCAGGTGTAATTAGATTAAAGAAGTACTGTTATAGTTTATATTTATTTTTTTGGCAAAGGTGAATTGTATGATCAAGAGTTTTAAAGTCGTTATGAATTGAAAACTTTTGTCATTTGGTTATCTGATATCAGCATCTTAATTTATCAGCTAATATCTTTAATGTCACATCATGTTTGAGGCAAATAAGATATATATTATATGGAAAAGACCCATTAATAATATTTTAAGTGTTCCAGAAGTTACTTTATGGCTGCAACTCCATACCGGATGTACATACAATGACCTCCTGTTTCTTTTATCAATTCACTATTCATTGCCTTAAGCTCTTTGATTAAAATGCTCTCCACATGGTCACCTCTCTAAAGTATAGTGATCATGTTCCTGTATTCTAGTTTTTTATCCATTTACTTGCTACTTCTGGGTAAAAACAGGCATTTCTTGGTGTTGCAGGAACCTATTGTTTCATGGTGCAGGCACTCATGTTCAGTGTCTTTTCAATCTTTTGTATTATGTCATTTCATTTTGGTGACTGTACCCATCCGCATCACCAAGAAACTACCACAAAGGTCCCCCCCTCAATCCATAACAACACCTTTTGAAAATGTCCCCAAACTACATGGGGGCTGTCAAGAAGAGATTCAGTACTACAGTTGGAATGGCAAAAGATACGAAAACAAAAGACAAACACAAAAAATGTGGTTATCACCATGCCATAAGAGAATGACTCAACACACTTAGCTATATTAAATGAAACAATAATTTATTATACTAACCAACTGGCTGCGAGGTGCCCACTTTCAGCTCTTTAACTTCCTTGTTGTCCACTTTAGATGTATCACTAGGCGTTCTTGACGCACGGGGTGCAGGTTTGGGCAACGTACCAAACTGAGATGGAACTCTGGAGCGTGGCCTAGGAGCTGGAGCTCTGCGCACTACCCCATTCTTGTCTGTTGTAGTGTTAGGGGCTGGGTTAGGAGGGGGACTAGAACAAGCGCTTTCTCTGGCATTGTTGATAACATCTTTCCTTTCATCTGGTGGACCCTGTTCTGGAATGCCTTGTCTTTCGCCAGATGGTTCAAGATAAACATGACTCTTCAATTCACCTGTTCTTTCCTTTTTCAGGTCCTTTTCTTTTGGTGGTAGAGGTGGAACATCACTTTGCCCCTCGGTAGTAGGAACTGAAACACCTGAACTGATATCTACCACTTTGTATGGCTTCGTAAATGGCTTTAATGTGGTATTTACATAAGTGTGGTTAGCATTACCACTACCTTTGTCTGCTTCAGTCATATGTTCCCTCTTAGGTTGTGTCGTAACGACAACAGAGTCAGGTTTGCTTACATCAAGTCTTCCAACTGCCTTTTCCACATGCACTGACTCACAGCTGTTTTCTTGAAAATCAGATGCACTACAGCTGTCCCAAGTGCTACTCCCCCAAGAGCTACATGAAGCCCCACTGGATTCAATAACAATATCACCTTTTGTTTGACTCATGCGAGCAAGGTCTGCTGAATTCTCATTTCCAGTGTTTACAACACCTGTAACGCCGGGTGCGATCACATCCAAGCAACTATTTGTTGAGTTACTTCTAGTTGATTTGCGAGTGTTTTCATAGCCTGAATCATGACTGCTGGAACCTGTATCGGTGCTGGTTGTACTGGCTGGCCTGTTTACATAGGATGGCTTGGTGCTGCTGGCTTTACCGGTAATCTTATTAGGAATCAATTTATCACACGTGCCTCCAGATTCTTCAGAACTGTTTGAATTGACGCTTTTCGATCTCGTCTTGCTTGAGATCAAGCACAAAGGATTTCGAAATTCTAAAACGCCTGAGGAATTTCTCCTTTCTTCGTGCGCCTCAGAATCGCTTGCGTTTGTCGCTTTAATTTTCTCTTCGTCACTGATCTCTTGTTCGTATGAATGGTGACCGACTTCGTAGTTTGCTTCCATCTTGACATCTATTTTGCGCATACTATTGAAGCGTATGGGTTCGGCGGTGAACAAAGCTACATTGCTTTTCATCGGTACATAACCATCCCCATCGCTGTCATCATTGTCTATAAACGTAAGCTCTGAAAGATCTTTCTCGCAATTACCAGAATCCACAAGGGCTTCATTGTTGGACAAAATTTTTTCACTGCCCTCGAGACCTGTCGAATCTAAATTCGTAGAAACTTGTATGTCGGTGACCGCTTCCTCCTTTTCGATTGTCTCGCGGACCGTTTCGATATCCGAACTGTTTGTTGACTCCTCAAGCACCTGAATCACTTGAGTATCGTGATCTGGTTTTGAAAGAACACTCGTGTGCGGCTCAACACTTTCTAAAGAGTTTGCGTTACTGTGGGATTTCCCAAGAGAGTCTTCGTGCATGGAATCGCTTTGCGCATCAGATGATTGCTGAGGGCTTATCAGCCCATTTCCTCCGTCCACAACTCGAGAGGGCGGTCTTGGTTTGGATCGAGGAACCGGCTTTGGTTTATTAACAACAAACAATTTGGGAGTTTCATCTGTTTTGCCGGTACGCCTTGTAATGCTATCGCTGCGACTTCTGTTGTTGTCCGTTTTGGTGGGAGCACAAGGTGCGATAGTTTTAATACCATTTGCACCTTCTTGGCGACTTCTTCCCTCTTTAACATCCTCTCTTTTCACTGAATTAACCGCTTGTTCAATATTTGGCGCTATAGGACTATGACCTCCTTCTTGATCATGTATGTTCGCCGTGTTGTTGTCGCCTTGAATTTTGTCATCATTTTGATGTCTTTCGCGTGATTGAAAACAGTTGGCACATTTTCCCTTTCTCCACAGGTTTTCCACGAAATTATCACAGGCAGACATTATTCATTCGCTTCTTCATAGCGTTAAAAACTCACGGGGTAAGTTTTCCCAATTTTTTTTTTCGTGTAGGCACGATTTTAAATATCAGAGAAGACATAAATATATACCAAACACCCACTAAGGAATATGACAGCGGAGAAACACAAAGGACGTTTGCAGTCAAAGGGACAGAAGTCTGGGGTCAACAAGGCGGGTGTACACACTTCCGGTGAAAAAAAAAACAACAAAAAATTCAGGGACTGTAGTTCCGTTCACCGCAACCAAAAATCTGAACACAGCGACAAGCACTTCTATTCTATTTTGTTCGCACTTTTATGCCGCATTTCGTGTTTTGGAAACAGACTTAAAAGCAGAAATCAGGAGCAATCGGCTCGTGCAGAAATTCGAGAACAAGGCCCGGGAACAAGGAAAGTCGAAAACAAAAGAATTTCCCGGATTTGCTTTTTAAAACAAATAATTAAAATTATTAATGGTAGTCTTTACACTAGAGCCTACATCAGCTAAGAAATATTTCAAGACAAGTAAATATTAATTACTTCAAGTAAAATAAAGCTTCACACACAACCTATCTTTTGTTATTTCCGGTTTACTTTTAATAAAATAAGCCTTTTTTCCCACGCAACATAATTAAGATTGATTGACATGCTTCGCCTTTCTCACAGCTTAGAAACCGAAAGTTCGCCAAAGATCGTGACTAAAACACCATACGAGTTCATACGAGTAACATACGACTACATACGAGTAACATACGAGTACATACGGGTAACATACGAGTACATACAAGCAACATAGGGGGAACATACGAATCTATACGGGTAAAAAAGTGCGACTCGAAGCAGGGACACCAGGCATACAAGGAAAAGGAGCACTAACACTAGAAAAAAGAAAGAGAGAAAGTCGACAGTCTGCGCACCCTATCATCGGCGTTACGAAGCTGGGAATTATTCCATGAAGCGAATTTAACCGCCTTCAAACAAAGAATACCATTTCCGTAAACCGATTTCCAACCATTTTCGCGTAATGAAAAAATTGGAGAAAATTGAAGAAAAACACAAAAATTGAAAAAAAAATTTAAAGAGAGAAAAAAAGATCAGGGCGCGCCCCTACTCACCCACTCTATCGCATTTCGACTACGTTAGAAAAATAGATTGGATATCCCTTTCGTAGTACGAAAGCCGAGGAGGGTCTTCCGACTTCTGACTTCCGACCTCCGACTTCCGACTTCCGACTTAAGACTTCATACTTCAAACTTCAGACTTCAGACTCGACAAAGTTTGAACTCCGGATTTCTGATTTCTGACCGTTCACGGTTCTTCAGAGACTCAATGCTGCATGGTTAGACTTCTGACCTCCCACTTCCCACTTCTTACTTTCCACTTCCCACTTCTGACTTCCGACTTCCGACTTTCGAAGTGGGAAGTTGGAAGTGGGAAGTGGGAAGTTGGAAGTGGGAAGTGGGAAGTGAGAAGTCGGAAGACCCTCCTCGGCTTTCGTACTTTTTAGATTTTAGATTTTGTTTTCCGACTCAGGCCACGCGATGTTACTCCAGAGAGAGTTTTCTTTCACATTCCGCCTTGTTCTCGTGTATACAAAATATAATTAACTGAAAGACAAAAGGCAAATTCTTTGAAAACATCATGTAGTCTGAGATGGGAAAGCAATATGTATCAGCCGAGAAGGGCTATTAAAATGCAATTGTTTGTTTGAAAGCAACAATGATCTTTTATCAGCCGTCAAAAAGACAAACTTCAACAAGTTGTTTATTCAACGGTATTTGTGGCTCTTCATTTTTTACAACATTAAAGGAGCTGTGTCACGAAATTCAGCCAAATTAGGTAATTACAAAATGCCCGTTAAATTAAGAGAAACGTAAAAATAACCGCTTAAAAAATTAAAGGAAGGTTAAAATAACATAACAGAAACAACAAATGCCACGGATGGGCAAAACTGAGAAAAGATTGAAACGGATCGAAATTAGGGTTTTTGAAAACTGTTTAGCCTAACAGTTTTTCAAAGTTGATCTCTGCTGTTTGCAACTTCAAAAATAATGCTCAGGAGACATATTTTTCGGTCTCGAATCTCTGCTTATGTCATTTACAAGTAATTTCTTCGCTTACTTTAAGTTCCGTAGCGATCGAGGGCGAGTAACTGGCAAAATTAAACAAAATGAACTGGACTGCCGTGACACAGCCCCTTTAACCAAAATCAACCAAAATAACTGTTCGTGCAGCAAGATAACTTGTTGTTTAACGCCAAGCACTCACTAGCCTGTTCCACGCTCTCAGATAGTGGGGAAGACGCGAAAGGAAAAAGCACGCGAAAAGTTGGCGGGGCGGGAAAAAGGAAGTTTCCTCCCGTTTTATTTTCGTGTTTGCGCTTTCTCAATTCAGCGGATCCGACTATCTCGGAGCCTGGAATAGGCTAAGCACTCACGAATTCAAATTATATTCTCAACTTACAAAAGGTGTGATAACGAAATTGCTCTAAAAAAGTTACAAGCTAGGGAGACCTATATTCTTTCTTTTTTGTGGCTGTCAGCTATCAACTATTGATAATGTACTAAATGCCGAGATGCTATAAAAATTACAAACTAGAGCGATAAAAGTCAAAAGCTTTTAAAAGACAATAGCATTGTAGTATGTTCATGGAACGACAATTCAGCAAGAAACGTTATCATGGTTATACTACTAGAAACACTTTTTTATGATACAAATGACTACCTCAATTTAATTACTAATTCACGAAAGCTGACAACGAAACTGCTCTCAAGAAGGTTACAAGGCACAATGACAACGTTGACAGTAAAAAGTACAAAAAAGCACGGCTTATAAAATTAGACTTTAACAAAAATAGCCTGCATAGCAAGCGTTTCCGCGCGAGTTCGTTGAGAAAGTTGCTCCCGCTCTAACTTTCGCGCTACAACTCGACTGGAAACGCTTGCTACGCAGGCTATTAAAAAAAATGTAACATATGTTAGTCCATGCTGTGATGTTTCAAAGAAAAACTTTTTGGCCAGTAATGAACTACATTAACTAGCGTTACATGTTGGTTAATCGCCAACTATGAACGATCTGTATTTTCAGCCGGTTATTTCTCCGGTTTCTTGTCTGCACGTACAGTAGAAAGCCGTCCGATGAATCCAAACCAAATTATAACAGTATCGGATTACCAAGCACGTGGGCGCAAAGCTGCATGGGATCTATTTCTCTTCTTCTTCTTCTTTTAGAGAAGCTTAAGGGCTGCTAAGTTTTTCTTAGGCAAAAATTCGTGTGTGAAGGCCTAAGTAAAATCTCAAGTAACTTTACTTTGCATCTTATTCAAGTCGAAAAGTTGAAACGATTCAAGAAAGTTTCAAGCGACTTGCAAGGGCGGATTTGGGGGTCGGCCCAGGGGGCCCCGGCCTCCCCTTTCGTCCGGGAATTTTTTATTCTTAAATATTTCAGCATTACATGTTAATTATGGCGTCCAGGCATTTGCTAAATTTAGGCGTCCAAAATGCACTCTAGATTGCATCTCAGCGAACTTCAATCACAAAAATTTTCCCGGAGGAGCATGCGCCCGAAACTCAATTATACTCATTTATTTTGCCATTAACCAGAAATACAACAAAAGTATACAGAAATACACTAAAGATAATACAGAATATTCCAACTAAATTATTTACAAGATCAAATGTGGTAAAGGCAAGGAAGCCTATATAGAAGCCGGGGGCTTATAAACTATAAGCTTCCTGGAACTATTGGGTAAACCATACAAGTTAACTCCCTAGAAAATTGTACCGTTCGCGGTCCTGATTTGTACTATTGGGCCCATATTGCCACTGTATACTAAATCTCTAGGCCCCCTCTATCACAAAATCCTTCGTCCGCCCATGACTTGAAAACCATCCTTATGGCCAACTTAGCTGACTTGCGGTTACTTGCGGTTTCTAGAGCTTTAAGAAAGACAAAACATATCAATCAATTTTAATTATGTTGCGTGGGAAAATAACATTAAGTTAACCTGAAGTAAAAAAGAATCAGTTGTGTGTGAAGCTTTATTTTACTTGAAGTAATTAAAATTTACTTGTATTGAAATATTTCTTAGCTTATTTATGCTCTATTGTAAAGACTACCATTGTTAAGTTATTTCCGAGGCGGGAAAATTTACTTCGACCAACTTCCGTTACAATTTTTAGAATTTGGATCTTTGCGGATGGATTTTAGTTCAAATTGCCTTTCGAATAAAGAATAGCCTGTTCCCAGACGTTGCCCTTTTTTTCCTTTTCGTTCTTTTTGAAAACATCGGCGAGCGCGGAGCGCGAGCCAGAACGAAAAATAAAGAACGTCTATTTTCTTCTTCCCCCACCCCTACCCCCTTGCGCTGGCGATCAATAAATCCTCCTTTCTTTTTGTTTTTTATCACGCGCGCTCGACGGACTTTGAAGAGCAAATAGAGGGTCTGTGAACAGGCTCAATACAGAAAGAAATGGAAAAGAGCAATCGTGGAAATTTCAGTTTTCACCGCTTCGAACAACCTCGTTCCCAGGGTTCTCTCCTACCCGCCCTACGAAGCGAGAGAGCGAGTAGGAGAGAACCCTGGGAACGAGGTTGCGCTTCGAACAGTGACAAATTCGTTACTTCATACTGACCCCCTCGGTAACGTGACTGTAAATAACAATAGAATTTAAAACTCATTCACGTTGGATCCAGATACCCTATAGGTCGAAATATCTTGAATGTGAGTGCATGTGAGTGCCTGCATTTGTTTGAAAATAACGTTTGTCATTTTGTTCTCCAGTGAGCTTATAAAGTGCAGTGCGTGCATGTCCAAATCCTACCCTAGAAAATGTAAATTACATACCACAGAATAATATGACAACAACAACAACAACAACACACCAAATGCTTTATCACAGAATAATGCATTCAACCAAGTGTAGAAAACCTCACCACATGCAGAAGTGCTTGCGTCGTACAATACGGACAGTGTTTTGGTCTCATTCAAGCGGCCTTATTCGGTGGCGAGAAGATTCTTAATTTGGACAGCGAAGACAGAAGAATGACTGAAAGTAAGTAACTTAATTCCAGTTTAAAAGTCACTTGTTTTAAATTACGTTTGCTAATCATACTAAGGGCCGTGAGTCTTGACGCCAAT